CCTCCCTCCTCCTTTTGGGCTGTTTTAACATTGCTTTCATACCTCAGTTTAGTTTATCCATTATGTTTTTTTTTTTTACTACATCGCTTTTTATAGTTTTTCTTCAGATTGAAGAAAAATACTTAAGTATATCTTATTTCCATAGTGAAATTAGAATCGATGTCTTACCGCTTTGAGTGAGGTGCAGAAACCTCACCACCATATACACCCTGTGTCTCTGAGGAATGAAGCTGAGGCCCTGAAATGGGGAAGATAAGATTGTGGTTCCAGGCCAAATGAAGCAGACCCAGTGCACCTGTTCCAATATGGATATAGACCTTAGTATTGCATCTGTTTGTGTTGAAAATCCCCTCAATGTGATAGCTTTGCTTTGACCTGTCATCCCACACACCCACAAGATTCTTCTCACTTTCTTAGGAACATTTTCTCTCTGTTCAGATTGGGGAGAGGGGTTCTCTTGGCTCATCTGTAGTCCATTGACCCTTCTCTCTGGCACCTCCATTGTGGTATAGGCTCTATGAAGAACAGTTTGTAAGTTAGGTTATTTACTTTTTAGTACTAAACTTCCCACATAATTTTTTTTTTTTTTTGAGACAGGGTCTCATGTAGCCAGGCTGACCTCAAACTCGAGATCCTCCTGCCTCGGCCTCCGAAGTGTCGGGATTCCAGGCTTTCACAGCCACACCCACTTGATTATTATTTATGTTTTTTTTTTCTTTGCTGAGACTTTGTGTCTTTAATTTGTTTCAAAAGTGTCTTCCCTTCTTTTGGCATTTTTGTAACACGTCCTTTAAAGTTTTTGTCAAATGATTCCAGCTTCTGCATCAGCTCAGTCTTGGCACAGTTGATGTCTTTCTCCAGGTTAAGAGAGAGTTCCCTCGTTATTTGCAAACATAGTAGTATGGGATCATAGCCTGAACATCCTGAATGTCATGAGACTCTGTGTCCTGCATAAATCATACAGATAATGTGGATATTTCCATTCTAGGAGGCAATCAGCCTGGTCAGTTTTGGTTCTTAAGTTCCATCTGGCCTTTTTCAGTATATACAATACTGGGGCTTTATTTAACCCACTCTGTTAAGGAATTCCAGAGACTAAGCCCAGATCTGGAGCCAAGCAGCAGAAAGATAGAGACAAAAAAAAAAAAGCAAAGGGTTTTTCAGGGTCCTCCTGGGACCACACCTCCAGCTATCAGAAAAGGACATTTCGGCTCCTGAGGCCATGTCACTCCATCAGGGGACTGACACACAGGAGCCTGGGTGATTCCCCTGCTCTCTGGATGCCGTAGGTATTCTTTCCTCCCCAGATAGATTAAAGCCCCTGGGGTGCTCCCTGCAGGGCATGGGCTGTAGTAAGTCCAGGCACCATCATTCTGGTGGTGCTTCCTCTCCGTCTGCCACTTCCATTAGCTTGTCAGGGCCCTCACTGAGCTGCTGTCTGCATTCTGCCAGGTTCTGTGACAGCATTCACTAGGAGGGACCCAGTGCCTCCTGCAACTGACCTGGAACAAGAACCTGCTGCCCTCCATCTCAGTGTTTCAGCCTAATTCCTCAAAAGCTTATTCTGGCTACTCTTGATGGCCAGGCAGCAGGAGAGCAAATAACCATGACCCGTGCCATGGTCCAGGGGACCATGCATCAGGGAAGCCCCTTTCCTACCACCTGCTGCTCCCATGGGCAAATTTCAGGAACTGTGCACTGTTCCCCATGGCCAGCTAAACCAGGAGCTGTGGACGCTCCTGAGCAGGGCCCTGTGGCAGCCACATGCAGCCTGACTGAGAAGGAGTCAAGGCTGGGCTGCTGAAGGCTAGCCCCTCCCTTGGAAGCTGTATGCCTCTGCAAAAGAGGCTTAGTGCGTAAGAAAAAGAAGATCCTTCCCAGGCTTGTGGATATGCAGTGCTTTCCCCACAAGGGAGAGGCAGAGCCCAGGCCTCGGAGCTGGCTTCTAGACCAGACCTGCATGGTGACTCTGCTCCACACCTGGCTATGCATATAGAGGAGCACAGCTTTGTTGAAGCAGCTCTTACAGTGTTTTTCACAGTGGGGAAATAGAGGCCCAGATGGTACCTAAGGTCAGCAGGAAAGAGCCAGTTTGGCTGAATTGGTCCAAGTACAGTGAAGACAGCCCGCTCTCCCCAGATTTCTGCTTGCCGCTCCCCTAACACTCATGAAAACCTGGTGTCCACAAAATAGCACAGCTCTCCCGGGGCCAGCATTGGATAAATGGCATCCAACCTCTCAGATAACGATACGCAATCCATGTAGAGAGAAGTGAGAAAGTAAGTCTTTTTTCTGTTAGGTGATTGCAGTGAATATGTTTAAGCCATTTTCTCCAGATGAGGGAACTCTGAAATACATGTCAGCCTTGGGAAGAGCCTATGTTGAACCCCAGGCAAATTAGCACAGCCAAGGTCCTGGGGGACCAGGAACAGGCTGGAGAAAGGGTGATCTGAAAGAAACCAAGAGATGAGGGACTAGCAGGGACACAGGACATGGCATTCAGAGGCCACTGCCCACCATCCTAGGCTTGTGGGCCTGCTTTCCAGGGAGATCCATACTGGAGAAGGATGGTATTTCAGGTGTCCCTTGGCTACCCATCACTGAGCGGCCACTGAGGACTTGACATGGTCACTTCAACCTCAAGAAATTGTGTTTTCCACATTAGTGTGTGTTACATGTTTCATAATGTTTGCTGAAATGGGAACTGTGTGTGTGTGTGTGTGTGTGTGTGTGTGTAGTAGGCAAGTGCTCTATCACTGAGCTACATCCACTATGGTGCAAGAATTTTTATGAGTAGATTTTCATACATCTTAGGGTAAGCCTTGATGCCACAAAGTGTTGTCCCCTCCTTGCAGGTAGGTGCAGAGCAGTGGTCTGATTAAGCACAGGTTGGGCCTCAAAGATCTGCTCACGCTAATTAATGCATTAGCTCCCTACAGAGTAAAATGGAGTTTTCAGATGCATTTGTGAAATGAGGTGCTTGAGCCACATTGCCTAGTGTATGGCCTGGAGTGTGCCCGCCAGGACACAGATTCCCAGGATAAACCAACAGGGAGGCTGAACATGGTGATGAACTCTGCTCGTACACGGAGGGACAGGTAATTCTTCCATTGCACAAAGCTTTTCCATGTGGAGAGAAAGGCACTGCATAGTTGCATAGTCCTTGATGAGAGCAGCGCTCACACCTCCTGGTTAGGGGGCCACGGCTCCTCAGAACCGCTCTCTACTTCAGTGAGCCTGCCCCTTGCTTCATGCCAGCAGGCTTCGTGAAGTTCCACGCTGTTCTCCCAGAAGACCTTGACCACGTCCTTCCCTGGGTCAGAGGATGCGGGACAATTCACCAACTCTGCACCTTCTCAGGATGACAGGGCTGGACCTGTGCTTCATGCAGCCTCCAGGGCCAGGTTTACTGTGTCTCCCTAGACAGCCCCCAGACCTTCTCCAAGTGACCTCAGGCTGCCTGCCTCTCTCCCTCCTTCCCTTCCCTTGTTTTAAGTTAGGCATAGCAACAACAGTAACCACAATAATGATTAACACTGTGATTCCAAGCCCCTTTCTGAAGACAAGACAGTAAACAGTCTATTTGCCTACAAAACCCTCCCAGCTCTCAGCCACTCACAACCCTGTGCTAATGAACCCAAAGCTGTTAATGCGGTTTCTTCAGTTAAATTGATTCATGAATTTTGAAGAGAACATTATCTAATGAATTTTCTTTGAATAGAAAGCAATTAAAAGGACAAATCAGTCTGATTAACCCCAAAGTCACCCTCCTGCCACAAATGGTGTACAGTTTGAAATTATATCATAAAAACTAGAGCACATTTGCCATCTTTTCGCCCTCTGCTAATCCACATAAATTAATGAACAACAAAGTTAATTTCTTTGATGACCCTTTTCTGGTATCACCTGGATTATGCTGATGTTTAATTTGCTTAATGTTATAATAAAGACTAAACAGATTTTTTTTCCCAGTGAAGTGATTATCGTTCCCTTCAGTTAAGAAGTGATTTTTATTATTTAACATGCATATAAGGTTGTGTTTCCTTTAAGAACCAAATCACACTTTGCCAGCATGGCACCACGTGTACCAAGTGCTCCTTTGGACACTGTGGAATGTCACATCTGCCCGTAGAGTCCTCCCCTTTGCTGTAGCCATTCAGAAACTCCTGTCCCTGGAGTGTTGGCGCCCCCAAGATGGAGGACATGGCGCAGGCTCAATGTTCCTGAGCCATGTGTCCCCTCTGGAAAGACAATAGATATCAATTCAGATTGGTCTCCTTCATGTGCCTGGGTTTTGGCCCTGCACGCTCCACACCCAGGAAAGAATTCCAGAATCCAGAGGCAGAGAGAGAGGAGGTGGTCATGCATCCACCAGTCATTCCCACAGCAAGAGCAGAGCTCCTGCAGTTCAGTGTGGCTGGTCAGTAAAAACAGGAAGAAATCGTTTTATATTTGCAGTGCTGTTCACTAAAGATGGCTGTAGCCAAGGCCACCACTTACCCTGACACAGAGTGTCTGGCAGAGTGGCACTGAGATGGTCCTGCTCACTGCTGAGTGTAGACACCTAGTGTGATTTCACAGCCCATCCCAGACTGCTTCTCCTTCTGTGTCCTAGTTGAAACTAGAAATGAACCACAGTCCAAAAGGTTTCCATAGAGGTAGGCAGGAAGAGACTCCCAGGCTTACTTATTCAACTGTGCAAGAATGCACGCCTGCCCACTCATGGGAAGGGCATCACATGTAGTCCTGCATGGAAGGTGGGGAGGAGAAAGGAAATTTGCACTCTGGGAGACCTTCCAAAGGGCTGCCTCTTTGTGCTGCCTCGTGCTCCTTTCTCTTTCCCTGTACACGGCAGCAGGGTACTGTGTGTGCGTGTCGTAATTGAGTGTAACACTTCTATTTGTGTTGCTGCATTTTCTGCTCCTGGACTGGCAGCTACTTAGATCAGAGCTGTTGGAGCCAGGTATTCGAATAACGTCGTTCTGTATTCTTCCTTTCAGATTCATTCACCAGACAGGTGTTATGGGAGCTGCTGAAGGTTGTGAAATTCGGAGAAATGGTTTCTTACCAGCAATTAGCAGCCTTGGCAGGCAACCCCAAAGCAGCCCGCGCTGTGGGAGGAGCGATGAGAAGCAATCCCGTAAGTTCTGCAGTCGCAGACATCAGGCTAGCTGCTGTCGGGTGGGCTTCCGACCCACCCTGGGAGGGCCAAGTGGCATTTGATTAAATGTGTGGCAGAGGCAGTCTGTGCGGCTGGGTTGTTGGAGTGTCAAAGCCCATGGAGCCCCGGCTCTGTGGGCACTTTGTCATGGCAGGGAGCCCAGAGGAGCTGGAGGAGCGAGTGGATGAGAGGGAAGCCTCCATTAACCCACTCACATACCTGTGCCTTCCCTCTGTTGGGTGCCTGCTGTTGGCTCTTCCAGGTGCCAACACTCTTCCAGGTGCCAGGAGCACAGCAACAGGAGCACAGCACTGACATTCTGGTAGGATGTACATGAGACAGTGTGACCCCATACCCCTAGGGGCTGTGCTCTCTCATTGAGGCCTGGGTTCTCTGGGTCCCTGGGGCATGAGCACAGGACATCTGAGACCTAGTAACACAGATGGCTGGGTAGTACCAGGGGATATGTCACCAGGGACAGTCCCTCCCCCAGGCTCTTCAGCATTCTTGTCCCTCTTGCAAGTCTGTCATCAGGATTTACTGAGACAAGGTTCCCAGACGATGCTCCCAAGGACAAATCAGACCTCAACATGGGGTACACTGTGCAGCCTGTAGTCCAGGAACACAGTGGGCTCTTTGGCTCCCCAGTCACGCCCCTTCCATCCACTGTGAACCAGGAAGTCACACACAAGTCCCTGTGTGCCTGTTGACCCTGAGTGGGCAGGAAGGGTGCCTCATCCTCATAACCCACGGTAAACCCATACAACCTCAAGTGCATGACCTCATGCTCCCACACGTCAGCAGCAAGGCTGTGCCGTCACATCATGACGGCTTCTCCCTAAAGCAAGACATCTCTAATACCAGAGGAAAATGCAGTGTGGTCAGGAGAACCTGATGATATCGAATCCTGGGATGGGAAATTGATAAATCATATGAACCCCACTTCTTACAAACTTGTTGTGGCTTTGCTGTATTTTTGGGACCATTTTCATCCCGCTTACAGGGGAGAAGCCAGCTTTTTCACACCACAGCCGCTGCTGCCATGTGCCGGCAGCCCCAGGGCAGAGCCTCTGATTTCTAGGAGATGACAGTTGTATAGCCTTTGCGCAGACTGCCCTGCTGTCCTTGAAGCAGCAGCTCTGCGGCTTTGCAGCAGGCCGTGTTGTCCCAGTGTGCACCCTCAACCTTTTTGCCATGTCAGAATACCCTGAACTATCCAGAGTGAGAGGCAGTGCGGACACACACCACACTTGGGCTCCTCTCATGAGTTTCAGTGACTGTGGCTGGTGGCACCTGTTGTGTGTTAATTGCAGGGTGCTCAGACACTCTCTCTCTCTTTCTCTCTGCCACTCCCCCCCTTGGAAACATCTTCCATGCTCTGAGGCCCTCGTCACAGTGTCTATGGGTGCTTCCCAATCAAATTTCTGAAGAATTTTTTTGAGGTCTCCTGAGAAAGCTCACTCTGTATCTGTCCTCTGGAAGGCCACCTTCCTCCTGGGCTGTGGCATTGTTGAGGCATCCGTCCAACTCTGTTGTAGACAAAGAGCCACACAAACACTGCCGCGCTGGGCTCCATTTAATGGCCTGAGAGATACAGGAAGCTCTTGGCTTTTGCGCCCTCCTCCTACATCAGTGCAGCGACTCTTCAGGCAGCACTTCTCATCTTTATGTTCCTTGAGTCAAGTGGGTCTTTTTCTTCTCCCCCACTGAGGTTTGATTCTTTCCAGCATCAGAGGAGAGGTGGCCATGTGTCCCCTGGTCAGTCAGTCCTGCAGTAGAACACTGAGCACATCAGTCTGAGTTGGCTAGTCATTTATAGTGGGAACAAAGTTGCTTCAATTTGTGCACAGTTCCCTGTGTGTGCACCCTTGAAGGTGGAAGCCATTCGAGTGCATCAACACCACTGTGCCCTCGGCCACGTGCAACTCACTTCCTGTGCATTGATAACTGGCTCTGCTCACCAATGTGCTCACGTCAGTAAGCACCCCATGCCTCTTCTGTGACACCAGTGGTTTCTCTCTGTCTGCAGTGGAAATGCTGCCACTGGCTAGCGACCTGCTCATGACAGCACTCATGCACATTTATTGTTCTGAAAACCAACATGGCTCTTTCACCTGTATCTCCTTTTATTATCTCCATAAATGTCTCTGTTCAGATACAACTTCAGTGGCTGAAATTAATAAAGTAGGGATTCACAGAGTTTAAATCTCTTAGTATCCATAAGCTGCACATACAGACATCATGTGTTAAAGCACCTCAGACATCCCCCAGGGGAGCACCAAATCAAAAGGCAGGCTCCATGGGTACCTGCCTTGCTCTGGACATCCTCATTGGGTCATGGGCAGCCTGGGTGATGGCAAAGCCCTCGGTGGCCTTTCTGTGGCTTTGACTCTTACAGCAACCTTAGCCTTGAGCAGAGGGTTGCAGTGGTGCCAGGATCTGCCATAAATTGCCCAAGGGTGTGCCGAGATGCTTGCACAGGGTGACCTGAGGCTGCATGTTGTACAGCAGCTCGGGATGGTAGAGCCCCACCAAGGGTCACTATGGATCTCCTGAGTGGGCGGGAGGGTCAGAACATGGTGCACGGACTTGAGGGAGAAAAGACACGGGGCAGTGGCATCCATGTCCTCAGAGAGTGTCTCCTGGCAACAACATTGACAGCAAGGCCCAGCCAGAGGGCCACAAATATCACCTCTGCCTTGGCAGGCCAAGTTGGGATGGGCTCACAGAAGGCATCTCTCATGCCCAGGCTGGGCAGAGTGATTATGGATTTGAGTGGAAAGTGGATTTAGAATGCCACAAACACCACAAAGCTCGCCCTGCACCAATTCTTTGGGTGGCTGGTGCTACACGTGGTCCCATGCCATTCACCTCAGGCCACTGGTGGGTTTGTACTCCCTCCAGAGTAGCACGAACCCACCAGGTTTTGAAGTATGGGGTCTTCTCCTTCCTAGAGCTTAACTTCTCCCAAGTTCCCAGGTGGGCTCCCTGACCCCATCAGGAGGGAGGGCATGGCCAGCTTCTTGCTATGCAGAATGGAAGACTCCTCGTGGCCATCCCCCCACACGATGCCCCCTTCTGCTTCATCCTCAGACAGAATTTGCTAAATGCAGTTCAGAAGCAATCAATATGTGCACGGAGAGTTTTCCCACCTTTTTCTAAACAAACGCATTCCTAAGGAGTTAGTTTATTCGCAGATTGCCACAAGCACTGATGACCCCCGAGCCTTGTTCTGCCAGTCACCCAGATGGCTGTGATAAAGATTTAGCATCATGTTCTGAGTGTCAGGGTTGTCAGTGGAGCTGAACCATTTGACCAGAAGAAAAAAACGCACAGGGAGCTATTGATTACAACTTCTCGGTGTCACTTGTTCACCAGGATTTAGGTATTGATGAGGCTGCGAGTGAAAACAAGCTTTCTCCCTTGTGGGCTCTACCCAGAAGAACAAAGGCGAAGTTGGAAAAAAATATTCCGCCAGTTCCAGAATCAGAGGGATTCCATTATTGATTGGAAGGCCCCTTCATGTTATTTTTGTTGGAGACAAATCTATGAGCTTGGAAGTTTTATAGCATTTGAGAACGGTTCTGCGGAAGTGATGGATCCGTGTACTGGATGAATTAGCTTTCACAGCATGAAGATCTCAGTGTGGCTGTGATATCATGAGCTGCTTGGTTATTGATAAAAATCGCATTTTATGCAGCACAGGCTTTAAAGAAGAGGGCATAGGGGGTATGGATCCTTTGGAAATGTCTGTAGGGCCCCAATAAATTTTAGTGGGTTTCATTGTTCCTGGTATTCAGAAACCTACCACCAAACTGACACAGAAGCTGGGGTCCATTTCAAAAGATACAAATAGTGCATGTTTGGGAAGTTGCCTGAACCCATTACCACATCCAAAAGTGCATATGAGAGGGGCCATATGAAAGTGCACCCAGAATGAATGGGAAAGAGAGAGGTTCGTAGCACTCTTTTTTTTTTTTTAACCTGTTAAGCGGGAAGGAAGAAAATCAAAGCTCAATGAAATCAGCTGTTTAGTAGGAAAATGAAATGATCAGTCAAAACTGAGAATTGGGTGTTAGCTCACACTGTCCTTGAACTAATTGTTAACACAACTGTTGTACTGGATGAAAAACGTCAATCAGAGAAAATATTCCATTCTTACTGTTTCCTGTGGATGCTTCTGAGGTCAAGGGTCAGAGCTGTAGTCAGCACGTGACAGGCTTCCACTGTCACCATGTGGCCCTGGGATGAAGGCTCTGCTGTCTTTCCCTTCATGTCATCACCCTGCTGAGTGAGCATCCTCCCACCATTCCTAGACTGCTCTGTACGTGTCACTTTGGTAACCCAAACTTGTAGTCAAACCAAACCAGGGTGAGCTTTGTGAGCTGAGGGAAACCAGGTGCCCCCTTCCCAATCCCTATTACCTGTCCTACCACCACGTCAGTCCCACTTCCTGGAGAGGAAGTGCACACAGAGCCATCAGGACAATGGTAGTGAGTGGATTCTGCCCCTTGGTGGCCCAGGTGTGGAGCTGCCCTTGGTGGGCTGAGGACACTGCACTACTCCCACTGCTGCCTGGGGAGAGAGGTGGGCACCTAGAGGTAACTCCATGCTCTGGACTTCAGGGGTCATAAATTACATGCCTGCCTTTGCTATCCATGCTCTGAACAAAATGAGGAATGGGTAAGGATGCCAAGATGTTAATTTATCAGGGTGAAAGCAAGATTGGAGGAGATGGTATGGCCATGACGTCTTCCCAGTAATTTCCTTCTGCTGGTGGAGGTCAGACCCCCACTGCCAGCCAAGCTGTGTGCCTTCCTTTTCAAGAGGAATCAGAGCACCAAGCACCAGGGGACAGGCAAGTCACCTGTAGGAAACTGTGAGGTACTGAGCTGGCTGTTCTCATCCCTTCCTGTCCTGGGCAGGGGGAGGGTGAGATGAGGAAGGGATGAGAACAGACTGGCAGAGGAAGCAGGAAGGGCCATAGCAGCAGCTGCCCCAGCCTCCACGTAGCCTAGCTACCAGCATGAGGTCCAGGGCAGACTGTCTCCTGAGGGCCGCTGGTGAAGGAAGCTTATGCCCTCTGCAAAGGACAGCATTTCCTCCTCCTGGTGGCTGGGGACTAGAGAAGGAATCTGGTTTATAGAGGATCATGGGCTCTGTGGCTGCAGGAGAGGTGAGCAGAGCCCCTCACCCAAGAATCCAGTACTTGGTGTCCAGGTAGTCACAAATGTGCACTAAGTACTGCTCCAGGCCAGGAATATCATGAGCTGGGTGCTGTTGGAGGCCCATGAGGCTGTGCCCAGGGGCTTGTCTTTGGGCTCATCAGAGTCAGTAGGAAGAAATGCCTGTAATTGGGAACTCTCTGGAATCATGCCAGCCCTGCCCCACCTCCGGGACAGGTGGGGCATCTTTGGTGTTGTAGGTGAATTTAGGTGGATGGCTCAGAGCACACAGACCCCTGCCCAGGCTCATGCATGTGCCTGACCACTGTCATGAGTGGAGTCTTCTGACAACCAACTGGGCATGGCTTGTTTCCATTGTGAGGTGGACTCTCTCTGAGTGAAGTCGCCCTGTTTAAGTGAAGTTTAAGAAGAGTGTCAGTACTCAGCTTGGCTCTCAAGAGATGGAGGGAAACCTTGGGCCTTGCTGTGATGGAGTGATCTCCACTGACTGTGCCTGTCCTGGGGTGGCGGGGCTGGCAATAAGAGCTTCCAGGGGAACAGCATGGAGGCTGGTACTCCTCAGATTCCTCCATGTTCCCAGAAGATGAGAGAAAAAGAAAACATCCCAATCCATGGGAGGAATAAGCAGGGTCAGGCCAGTGCTTCCTGTGAGGGGCCAGGGATTATTTTAGGATTTGACAGCCACAGACAGTATGTAGCCAAAGGCATGGCTGTGTTCCAATAAAACTTTATTTACAAAACCAGAGAGCAGCTTGCCCACAGGCATAGCTGACAAGCCCCTGGGTTGGACTTTGCCTGCATGAATACCTGAAGCTTCTGGTTTCCGCTTGGAAATGTCTTAGGTGACATCCCACACAGATCTCAGAAATGTAATTCTAGCTTCTCTCAGTGTACACGACAAATTCTTCCTCAGATGAAATCAATTTTTCTCCTCCCAAATCTTGGTGTTAGGGTGATTATCTGCAAGAGGCCCATATCCCTCTCACCTCAGGGCTGTGTCCCTCATCCAGCCAGCACAGGCCTCCATGCCAGCTGCCTGCCTGGCCTGAGCCTGGCCTGGTGGCACTGGACAGTTCTTGTCAAAGAGTCCTGCTCTAGGCACCCAAAGTCACACTGGCCCAGAGCCAGACTAATGATGGCACCTCCTGTCTTTCAGGTCCCCATCCTTATCCCATGCCACAGAGTGATCTGCAGTGATGGAACCATGGGCAACTACTCTGGAGGACGGGCTGTGAAAGAGTGGCTTCTGGCCCATGAAGGCGTCCAGGCTGAGAAGCCTGGCTGTGGGGAGTTGGGTCCAGCCGGGACCTGGCTGGGTGCAGCCAGTGACTCCGCCTGCTCCCAGCATACTAGCCGAAATTGAGTGTTTGTATTCGGAGTAAACATTTGAGTGACACATAAATGTTATGCCACGGTGGAAGCAGGATGTGTGGTGGCACCACTATATTAAAAGAACCAGATGTGTCCTGGGGGACGCAGCATGTCTGCCCTTTCTTGTTTCTACATTTTATAGCAGAATGAGTTCAGATGACCGGCCATGGTGCATGTCGTTGGGTCCCTTCTCTAACGCAGTTATTGTTCCATTTTTAATGTCCATTAAAATGGGAATGAGAGAGTAGGGAAGGCCTGGAGAGCCTTAGGGCCCTTGCCTGGGAAGGGAAAAGCATCTGGCACCTACAGGCAACAGCTGGCCACCCCAGACCACCCATCCTAAACAGCTGACCCCACCCCAGGGCCCCTGTATCACCATTCCCTCCCTCCTGGCCATTTGCCGGGCCAAGATGATGGTGACACTCAGTTCTTCACATCCCACACTCAGTCTGGCTGGAGGAGGAGAGCAGGCTGGAAGGAGATGCTCCTTAAAGGTTTTCTACCACTGGTTTTCCAACTGCCAGAGAGCCCCCTGCATCCTGTGTGGTCTGCATCAATTGGATGGAAAATAGCCATTTTCCAAAAAAAGATTTAGAACAATGCATAGGTCTTAGGACATGGATTTGGTGAGCTGGTCCAGCTTAATACAAAGCTAAACCCACAGATCCCAGCCTCTTTCCCCTCCTCCTACTGTGGGCAGCAGGTGAGGAAAAATGCAGCCACTGTGGGGTGGGGTAGGAGGGGGAGAACCAGGGGCCTCTAAGGACCTCACAGCTCCCCAGTCTGGAGCCTGCAAGTCCAAGTCCAGTGGCAGATCTGCTCTTTTCCGTATTTGTGCTGATACTTCATCATCATATCATCCTTCTAGCTTTAAAATTGACTCATCCAAAAAGGGAAAGGGAAACTTGTAGCTCCGGCTGTGGATACATAAAACAGCACAAGATGTGTGGGGAAGACAAAGCACTGACTGTGCAGCAGAAAGCTGTGTTCTCATCACAGCTTCTCTGTGGTGGTGTGAACCTAGCACAGGAGCTCCACTGTTCTGCACATGTCATCGAAACCCGGATTGAAATGCAGCTTCTTCATGGGCACGGCTTGAAGATGCTCATAATGCAAAATGTTATCAACACCAACAAAAACAATCCTCAGGCCTTTCTCCCCATCTACAACTTACTCTGTCCTGTCTCACATCAGACAAGCTAATTCCTGGAGATTTTTCCTGAAATATAAAGTGACCAGCACCCCTACTGTCTTCTGTTTGGTCATTCTTAGTCATCATGAAGCAGGGTGTTGTGCTAATACAAGTCACACAGTCATGTGATCTCCGGACACAGCCCAGGGCTGTGCATGCCGGCATACTCCTGTTTGCCTTTCCCGCCTGTTTTCTGCACCTTTTCTGACCCCCTGTCACTGAGAGAGCAGAGGAGTCATCTGTGACATGGCCAGACAGACGTGTGCAAAGGGCCAGGGTGCCTGCTACATCGAGCCACATGAGTTGTGCTGCACAACCCACCTCCCTCCAAAACACACACACACACACACACACACACGCATGCACGCACACACGACTCACCAGAAATTGCTGCCTGCTGCCTTTGTCCTCTGCCTGCACAGCACAGGCATCTGTCTGGCTCTCACAGGCACCGCTCTGGGCCCTCTTGCCGCCTGTGCCTTCTGTTTGCATGTGTTCCAACAGAGGGCGCTGTGGTTGCAGTGTGCCGTGGGGAGACCCCAGTCTCTGCTCAGCTTTAGGATGGGTTTGAAGGAAGATGGGCTGCAGGGTGGAGTCCAGCTGGCTCTGAACCTGTCCTGCAAGCTGACTTCCACCCTCGCACATGAGCAGGCTGCCAATAGGCCAGGCTAAAGGGACCTAGCCTGTGGCATGGGTTAGCCACATGTGGCCACAGCACCCACCCTATCAAAGCCACCAGGGTGGCCCCCTACTCCCATCCCTCCCTGCCCAACAGCTTCATGTAGCCTGGAACCACATGCAGGCCTGTTGGGCTGTGCCCTTGGAGCCATACAAAAACCATGTCTGCTCTTGTCATCTCTGAGGGTTTCCTCTGTGCTGTCATAACAGGCTCGATAGATGCCCTGAGGTGGCCGTTGACAGAGCAGCAGGACTCACTGCCATGGCCGTGTACTGCTCCAAGGACAAGCTCTGCAGAGGCCGACATGAAACGCCAGTTCGGGCGCCTGAAGCCGCTCTGGCTCGAGGTTGCAGCGCAGCTTGTGAAAATAAGAGGAAGAGGAAAGGCATAAAGAATTACAAAATATTTGCCAAATAAAAAGAAATGTTGAAACAAGAAGGCTGTGTTATTTGGCCTTGGCCCCAGGTCCCCCTCACCTGTCAGGCCTCTGTGTCCTGTGCTGAGGTGCTTTGAACGGCCAAAGCAGCATGTCAGCCCCTGCTATACAGCAGCCCCTCCCAGCCACCATCTCGCCACTTCCAGAGACCAAGGCACAGAGCCTGTGTTGATTCCTGGAAATGGCCACCCTTGTCCAGGTCAGAGGCCAAGCCTGGTGACGGGTGTGCCTGTCTCTGTTCTTGTCCCATCAGGGATGCAAATACCACACACCACCGTGTCCTGTGTCTGCATGGAGTGATGAAGTGACGCAGCATAAGCCTGGCCTCTTTGTGGCCACAGTGGAGGAGTCGTACCCACAGTTGTGGCTGTCGTGATGGCTGTTGCGAAATCTGGAAATGCAAAGGATCCCATGAGAAGAGTTGCAGGATGGAGGGTCAATTCTTCTGCAGTTCTAGAAGCCAACGGTTGCAGTCAGCCAGCACTTCAGGGAAAGTGGCAGGCCTGCCTTGTGGGTGGCATGACTGGGGTGCTTAGATACTTCCTAGGCAGCAGAGAGAGCTTCCTAAACAACCCTTCGGGCCCAATCGTGCTACAGATCCAAGTCCCTTGGTGATGCAAGTGTCTCTGGTACACCTCTCCCACTATTGCCACTCCCTATTACATCCCGTTCCAAGGGGCCAAGCACATCCAGCATGGATACATTCATACTGAAACCACCCGCCTTTGTTTTTAGTGTATCTGTGAGCTAAGTGTTCTCTAGAGGCATCTTCCTAGAAAAGTCCACACTAAGACGACAAACCTGTGAGTACACTGCTCAGAACCCACCGTACTTGTGACCCCGGTAGTCTGTGGCTGGGGACAACCTCGGGAGTACACTCAGGAAGTTGATTTTGCACAGATTCCATTGGAACCCCAAGGATGTGACAGCACTGGGAGCCACATCTGCCTTTCCGCCTCCTATCGACCATGTGCCCGCCTGTCCACCAGTGTGCACACAGCTGTGACCATGGACCAGCATGGACCTCACCACCATCGGAACAGGCAGGAAATCACAGCTGAATCCACGCGAAAACTGTTCACTTCCCTCCAGACCTAGGCAGAGACCTCAGCACTATTTGGGTTTCAAACGACCCACAGGAGGACTCTGGAGTGATAGACAAATCGACTTAACGGAGAACACGAGTGGGGGAGTTTATTTTATCTAAAGATTTTCCTAGTCAGGAAACTAAGCCCTTTGCTTTCAGCCTCCACCTGCTGGGACATAGCCAGTCTCCATGTGTCTTGTTTGCATGGGTTTTCTTGCTGCGGTACTGGGTCACAGAGGGTGGTTGGAGGCCTCAAGTGGGAGGTTAAATTTGTTTGGCCTCCCACAGGCTGTGTTTTTCTTTGTTGTTCATCGGTGTTTGATTAAAAGTTTGCATTCAAGAAGCTGAAGTTAGCCAAGCAGGGAGGTACTTATGTGTAGTCCCTGCTATTCTGGAAGCTGAAGCAGCAAGATTGTAAGTTCAAGGCCAGTCTGGGCTACACAGCAAAGACCCTGTATCTTATTTAAAAAAAAAAAAAAAGCTGAAGTTCACATCAGTTTTACTTATCAGTTCGAAAGACAGATTTAAATGGGACTTTGCCCAGCAGCGTCTGTCTGTCTGTCTGTGTGAAGTAAGGGGGAGGTGGAAGTAGAAAGCCAAGGCCTGAGCATGGAGAAACTGCAGGTCCCAACGTGTCTCCAGGTGCCTGAGGGCGGGCGTCCGGAGTCCCCCGGACCCTGCGGCTCCAGCTGCTGACAGATGAAGAAGGTCTGGCCTCCATCACCCAGGGCGGCTCCGACAAGGGACTGCAGTGGGGGCGGGGCGGGGAGTGGATGAGAAAGTAGGAAGTGGATGCTGTGTGGCGAGGTGCAAATTGACAGCAGAGCCCAGCCTGACAGTTCTCTGATTGATGAAAGGACACTGTTAACAAGCCTTTAAAGTTTCTCATTAATGTTCTTTTCACTGAAAAAAGCCACAAGAAAAAATTCCACATGGATGGTAATTAAGATCGATCCTGTACTGTATGGTACCCATGTTGTTGGGAACCTTAAAAAAGAAACCTCCTATTAAATACTTATTTTCAGGCTGCCATCTTCAGGAAGCCCTGTGTGACTCGGAGAACATGGAAAGGGAGGCACAGTTTGTAGAATAAGGTGGCCAGCCTCGGGGAGCCTGAGGATGAAGCCTTCTTTGTCATGACCTCTGACCCAGTGGGTTGGAGGAAAGAAGGAAGCATCCAGAGAGAGGCTGGCTGGTTCTGCCAGCTCCAAGCTAGTTCTGTAGAGCGCATCTGAGCGAGGTCTATATGGTGCGTGTGTCGGGGGGCCAGGCAGGGGAAACAGATGGGCTGGAAAGCAGTGTGTCCTCGCCGCTTGTGCTGAACAGGGCCGGAGCCACCCCCATTGTACGCACAGCACCTCTCACACCCCCAAGGCTCCCGTTACACGTCATCTCTGTTCCGTGTTCACACATGAGCAGTATGTGTGCCTCCAGATTGATTTGTTGACTTAAGAGAAACCCAGCTGGAGCAAATATCAGTGCCCAAACACCAGGCAACATGTAATACTGCACAAAAGTGTTGCTTTTGCACGCTTTGATTGCCACGGCGACGGGAGCAGTGAACGCACGTGTGAGACTTGGCAGGTAGGTCTGCGGCTTGCGGTTCCATCTCAGCAGGCGCGAACTTGGCCCTACGGCCCCTTCCCTGAAGTCCAACTCCCTAGGCCTCTGTGGGGATCTGCACTCTG